ATGCTACTCGAACTAAGACAAAAGAATCCCTTTGTCATCGTTCATCCCGTTGCTTATGACCGGTCTTACAACCGCACTTTTTAAAAGGATTGGTAACTGGACCTTTGATGAAATCCTGTCAAATTCCTCTGACGACAAAAAAGAGCATTGTCTCTTTGTCTAGCCAGTAGACTTTTTAGCTGAAGTGACAGATTTAATTTTTCCCCTGTGAATGACATTTCTGGAGCCTGGCATACGAAAGGTTCTCACTCTAGGGCTGTGCCAAAAAAACGAATATTCCATCGATTATCGAATATTCAAATATTATTTTCCAAATTTGAATAGTCGAATGCAAAATTCATGAAAAGGAAGGGAAAATTGCACTGTGGAGGCTTGTTTCAAGCAGATTTAATTAAAAAGCGACAGAAAGCTTACCATTCAAAAAGTAAATTATTCATGAAACAATTTAAAAAGAATAGACATTTTCCACAGGGCAAGAAGTAGTATTCTTCTCTTAAATCTTGCTAAATCATAGCTGGAGATACTCCTAGATGTGAGAAGCTATTATGGTGATTATAATGTACAATTGTGTGTGTTATTGCAACTGATTTTGTATATGGTTTGTTATCAACAGTCTGCCGGTGGATACGACCGAATATTCAGATATCTGATCAAATTGAAGGTCAAATAATTATTGAAAGAGTGAATTATTCGAATTGACCCAGCCCCATCTCACTCTTTGTGTTAAATATTTGAGTTACATGAAACTGGTTATCACTAATCATTCCAGATGTATTGCTACACTCTTCTGAGGGAACCACTTCTAAATCATCTCTATGCAATACTGAGCAGAATACAGGAGCAGCAACTACCTTGGCAGGTATAACAAGCAAATCAAAGTAACGATATTGACACTTTGTCATTTCTGTCATGACCCTCCCTGGGTATGCCGTCACCACGTCGTGGGGAAGTTTTTATTGTTTGGCACATACGGGCGGAGTTGTCGCTGTCCTCACAGCAATGTCAAGGTCCCCACAAAGTTGGCGTAATGATGAGCATAATGTCCCCACAACGACGGAACAAGTATGTGTGGGTACGGGGTAGACCTGCAGGCTGAAGGGGCAATTTCTTTGGATGGGAAATTTGGGATCAGGTTGTGGGGACAAAAAAGCTGTCCTCGTAGCATTTTTGGCCACCTCAAAGTAGGTGAAAAGATGAGTGTACCTCTCCACAACTGCGGCACTGTGGTGTGTGTGTCACCCTTTCTTGGCCATTATGGTTACTCGAGGCAGACTTGGAGCGTTGCCACTGTGGCGAAAAACAAACACCGTGGAGTCGTCTCGAAATGCAAGTCAGACACGACGTGTTTAGGACTTGATGGGTAGTTCACTAGTAGATTCTTGATAAAGCTCGTTGAATTGGGGGCCACATGGTAACGAGATCAGTACTACTTTATCTCACATAGCATCATTTTTTATTTTTGGTATAAAACTGATCAACGGCAAATAATAATAATAATTTATTCATTTATAAAGAGCAAATGTCATAAAAATATGTTCAAATGCGCTGTACATTAAGCTTCCTTTAGTTTTACAGCACAAATATGCACAAGTGCCCAAGGTCACTCTCTTGCATGTTGGTGCAGTGCACAACACAACACAGCTGGGCTTCTTTGAGGTGTTTACCAAGTGACCCAAAGAGTGACTTCAGCATAGGAGGGTTGATACTAAGTATAAATACATGTACATTAACCCTAACCCTCCTCAATCCTTCACCTGTTGGAGGACTGAGGAGGGTTAGGGTTAAGAAAATATATGTAACGGCGATTAAAAACACTAGATACAGCAAAGCCAAATGATAAAATTGAACGTATTGAATTTGACAGCAATCAATAACATCTGTAATAACATGTAGCAAAAAGAGGAGACAAGAAAAAGACACCTGCCAATGACATTTATCCTAACCACCAAGTGAAGCAAAGTAATCATTGCATAATCAGTAAGAGAATGCAGAAAAACCCACGGAGCGTTAAGGAGATTTCGGAGATGTACAGCAGCTTGTAGGATTTGAGAGCTGCAACAGTAACCCTTGCCTCTGTCCCCGTCGCAGCAAGTGGAGGCTTGTCTGTTTGCGTTCCGCTCCATCGCCGAGGGGGGCGACTACGGGGATGACCAGTGCGTGTCGGACCTGCTGCAGCTCCTGGCCCAGGTCAACATGTCGCACACGACGCTAGCCTCTACGGCCTTGTACATGCTAGGTGAGGATTGCGCAATGCGCCGCTCTATGCTTGATAACCCCCCCTCCCAGCTGTGAAATGATCCAAAAGAACCCGGCTCTTTTCGATTAAAATAGTTGCTTGTATGTCGTAAACTAACTCCATAAGTCGCCGTATGGTGGCACTACACTCTTTCTAATTCAAGATCAGATGTTAGTGCCGTCAAGTGTGTATAAATTTGACCTTTCCAGCTGCACTTCCATGCAAAGAGGCCAGAGTCCTGTCACGTTCCGATCAATGATGTTCTTTCACAGGTGCCTATTCTGAGTGGTTGGCCGACGCACCAGAAGCCTTAAGATCAGTGATACCAGTCCTTCTCACCGGTAAATATTGGTGTCCTTCTTTCCACCACCCGCACTTGCACTGATGAATTTATTAAAAACCCTACATTACTTGGCATGGGTTTGGACGGTACAAGGTCCGATGGGTTGATAAACGTGGGTCACGGTGCTTGAATATCCAAGAGGCACAGCTCATACGAGGACCAGGGTCTAGGAAAAATGAAAAGGCGCACGAAGAGAGTAGGGCAGTAGGAAGAAATAGGACACACCCTTTTATTAAAAGTTTTGATGCCTTTCGTTTTATGTTTGATTTTGGAAAGCTATAAAAGTGAATCTGCTGCACAACTTTGTACAGGTCCACGTTGACATGCATCTTGGACAGAATAGAGGGGTTTTTTGATAGTCACATGATTTTTGACGGTCAGCATTCAATAATCACTGATGTGCGTGGAAATGCGCGCGCCTTCGAAGTCTTCTCAGCATTCTGGCGTACATGAAATTGCCAACTGACAGACGCAGATTTGAAAATGTACGTGCTGCTGCTGACTTGGAACGCTTCTTGAAATGCCTTTGCCGGTCAAGTGACGTCACGTGAAACACCTCTATAGAGCCTGTGGAACACTGGTGCCTAGGGCCTGTGGAACACTTACTAAACCTGATTGTGGTATGCCATGTGTACATTGGACGTACATACCATTGGGTATTTGGGTCAGGAAGAGTGTGAGTCCTGAGCTGCACCAAGAGAGGGCGCAATTTCCCTGGCAGTGGGAACTGCACTTCACTGGTTCACAAACAACCATGAAATGCATGAAAACTCGCCACCAACCTGGCTCTTTCCAATCAATGAGGGGGTGCTCCTGCTCAAGGCAAACAGAAGAGCAATCTGAACTGTTTTTGTGACCAGACTTTAGCTTTGTCTCAAGTTGTAGCCTCATCCCTGGTTCCTGAATCAGTCACAGACATTCACATTTGGAGCCCCCAAAAATACTCCTAAGTATAGCCAGTGTTGTATTTGAGTCCATCACAAGTCAAAGTCCATCACATGTCGCTGTAAGTCCATCACAAGTCATTCAGTCTAAGCCAATGCACAAGCTATTGAAATGAGCTGTGACAACAGCATTCCTTTGTCATTGTTCACTGTGACAACAGCATTCCTTTGTCATTGTTCACCCTGTTACTTATGACTAGCCTTGTCAGGGGACTTGTGACTGGACTTGTGAGAGGACTTGTGATGGACTCAAATTAACACTGAGTATAGCTTTGCATCGAACAACTTGATATTCTTGTAGGAGACAGCGTTGTGGAGGTGGAGCTACTAGTATGTGGGGGGGATTCTAAACTCCAACAAAATTTGTGAAGTCTCAACCTCAAGCCTGGAATGAAGCCAGTGTTTACAAACAAATTCCCAGGTGTGTCATCGATTCAACTGGGGTTCGGCCTTTGACATGGGTTTTAAGTTTCTTGATTGCTTTTGGTGTTGCTGTGGTTGTCTGCAGGTTTGAACGACCCCGAACTAGCGGCACCAGCCACCATGTCCCTCAAGGACATCTGCTGTGAATGTCGCAAAGAGATAAAGCCGTATGCCGAGACTATCCTGAACGCCAGTCAGGAAGTCTTGAGGAGGAACACCATCAAGGTCGGTACCCCTCACTTACCTTTGACCTTTCACCTTTGACATTATGACCGTCTAATAATGTAGTGTCCCTTGCATTTCTTTGGTAAGCATTTCTTACTCTCTTGAGCAGCATGGACAAGTTTGATTGGGTGCTTTAGAGCTTCCTCAAAGTCAGCCCCCAGTACCTTATGGACAAATCCAGTAACCATGGTAATGCTATCACTAGTCATTTGCAGTTGCCCCCCAGCGATAGCGGTAAGCAATGTGAGTGACTATTGAAAGTCTCCAAAAGAAGTATTTTAGCTGCAGTTGTTCAAAGCTTCTGGTGGGTGATTTTCTGGATATCTTTTCGTCCCCCCTGTTCCCACCCCTGAATAACTTTCCATTTTTTTTTTTTTTATTTTTCTCAGGCGAGAGAGAGCGTGCGGCTCATGTCCATCGTGGGCCTGGTCCTGTCCACGCTGTCCCTGCAGGAGATCCTGAGCTACTTACAGCTCATACTAACGCCGCAGCTGCAGATCCTGGAGAGTGCAATAAACGAGCAGGTGAGAAATGGAACTTCACCCCACTGGTTACCGCTCTGTAGAGCGCCAGCGGCACTCAACCCTGGAAGAGTCGAGGGGGGGGGAAGGGATGGCCCCGACATTTCCTCCCACGTAATTGCAGTCAAATGTTTCAAGTGCCACGCCTTAAGGAGTTTTTATAGTAACATACATGTACTCTCAGTCTTTTTGACACGATACTGTGAGAATGGAATGTGGCGTTCTTGCGCAATGCACAACTTTCTGAGACGGGTCAGCGAAAAATCGATACTTTTTCCGTTCACAAGCTCAATGTACAACAGATGTGAGTCTGTGAACTTCAAATGACCTTGTCACAAAACTGTGCGTCATATTGAAATTGAAACTTCACATTTGTACTGATAAGGAGTGTCTTATTGTGCATGCTAGTTATTAAATGATCGAATGTGTGACAGCCAAGTTTTGGTGGTTCCCCTGTGAGATGGTCCCAAACAATCCGGCTCTTTGAGGGTTAAGTACTTGGTCACATCACGGGAGATTTAAAGTACCCAAGACATGAATTTCACTTGCGCGTAGGTCTCTGGAATGTATTAAAATTATTTCATACCCTTTTGGTTAATCTTATTGAAAGAAGGAGTTCCTCAAAGATTTGAGTTTTCCTTGCATTCCCTCACAAATGAGGGCGCTGTTGCTGTGATGTCATTCTAGGAAGACTCTGGTCATTTCAGGGTTTTCTGCACAATGTATAGTCCCCAAATTAAATCGCCTGGGAAACGATAATTCAGGACAGCAAATGTACCGGACCCTGGCAGATGTTAGTGTAACTTCTTGAAAGAGCTTGAGATGCCTTCCTGATTTGTGATGCGATCAAGCAAGATGAGTCGTTCGTCGCCCCAGGCCAATTTGTTTAATTTCTGTCTTTTGAAAGGTATGCAGTGTCAACTTTTTTTCTGTGAAAATCTCAAGCTCGAAACAACCCTTGGATCAACAGCAGTGGAAGTTGAAAAGTGAAAAGATTTGATTGTGGACATTTTATTCTGAGAACTTTCTTCAAACAAAAATTTGAGCAACGGATTCATTTTGCTTAATCGCATCATGTTTTATATTTTTGTGCTGATACTTTCTAACTGACTGTAACTCGCTGTCGTGTAGGAGAAAGATAGTGGTAGCACCTCCAGCAAAGACAACTCGGGGTCTTGCAAAATCCAGCCTGCACCCTCGGGGGTAGGTGTGGAGGCAATGCATTGTGGGGATGTGCACCTGATGCATGCTGGAATATTAGCCTGATGCATGCCCTTTGCTTGGAGGAAACAAATACTCCTACAGAAATGTTTTTCGTTTGTTATTTCTTCGTTTTTTTTGGCAGCGTTTGCCAAAGAAATCCTCAAAATCTGTTCAAAATACTGATGGAATGCATGACTTTTTCCCCTCAAATTTTGCTTTGCTGAATATTGTCTGTGGTTTTTACAGCTTACAACGACGCAATGATCAATCTGTAGAGCATGAGTCCAGATTACTCAAGCAGTGTCACATGCAGTTGGGCTAGCCATTGGCTAGCAGCTGCCGCTCACTGCAGGCGTGCATTGCGCCAAGCCACAGAGCCATAGGCCGTTTTCCAATACTCAACTTCGTCTCCATCTCAGGCTTCGTCTTTGAAACCAATCCCTGATTGTGGGCCTGAAGCGTTCAAATTAAATTGAAGTTCTGTAATGTTTAGCTCTTTTGCATCTTACTTGATGTTTTGTGGCACAATCAGACTTACCATTGCGCTCACAACCTCAAAGTTAGGAAGTAAAAAACAGTTGAAGCCTTAGACGGAGCCCAAGTCGAGTATTGGAAAACGGCCATAGACTCTGCAAGAGTTTGAGAATGTTGTCATGTTCCCAGACTGTGATGACACATCAATTGCATTCCTGCATGTTCTTCCAGCAACATGTTCTTTCAAAGGCTGCCGACTGGTAAATAGCGGGTGCCACAGACAACAGTGATTGATACCACCACATAAAAAAAATTCAGAAAAAATATTTACACGTTTCTCAGGTGTTTAAGACTTACATCAAATTAAAGCTCATTTCCTCATCTTTAATTTCTTTTCAAGTTTGGTGGCTTCACGTTGACTTTCGAAGATATTTCCATTCTAAGGTGATTGCCCCCTCCCAAACACGTTGTGCAGCGCTTTGCCATTTTGAAAAATTATGCCTACGCTCCATTGCAAAATAGAGCCATTTGAAGGGCTCCATTTTGTCCAAGTTTTTCAGGTCTGCAAGATGGCAGCCCTGATTAGCCCTAACAGTCCTCAATCCTTGAATTTCAATGTGATTTCACATACGCCCTAGGGGCTCAGGGTTAGGTCTTCTGCACTTCTTTTTTTACAATTCTGCCAGTCTATGGCCTGTAAAATGCTCCCAGAGCCAGAGATTTGAGGGCATGCGAATTTTGATGGGGTCCGAGCAATCAGTCTGGGGCATAGTGCAGGCCTGCATCCCTAGTGATTCAATTGTTGATTCGTTATACTGTAATTTCGTTTTCTCCCTCGTTCTCACCCTCGACATCAAGCAGCCCACCCCCGTCACCAAGTCAACCATCCTGCTGAAGATCAACATGCTGTCCAACCTCTGCTCCACCCTGGACCTGAAGCGGCCAGACCGGCCGGAGGAGGAGCAGGAGGGGGCGGAGTCCATGACGGTGAAGAGGGCAGCGCCGGCCCAGGACGAACCCCAGCCAGTCCTGTTGATACTGCAGCAGACCTTGCCCATACTGCAGAACCTCCTAAGTGTCTGGATCTCTGACGTGGGTGTTGTGGAGGTGAGACTTCGGGGGGGGGTATGATTACTTTGGATTTTTGTTTGTCCAGATTTCGGGATTTTGGACCCAAGAAATCTGGTTTTGAAGAGGTTTAATTGTTGGGATTTTTCTGCTTTTTGAGGGAGGCTTGAAGTGATCACTGGCACTTGGGAGAGAACGCAAGCCTTGTTAGCAATTAAAAGCTTAAAAAAATTACAGAATTATTTTTGTTACCGTTACCTCTACGGGGTTTCTTGTAGACCTTTTCATCCTGCAACCTCTTCAAATATGATGTGTAAGCTCAAGATAAAAATCTCTTGTTTTTATCATGCCAATGAACATCAATATTATGAAGCCTAGACGTTTTTTAAATTGCAACCTTAATTTTAGATTTTGTTGTATTTAATGCAACAGTGTGAGATAAGGCTGTTGCCATCTT